CGTACTGGGGGCTACAACTTCTATTTCACAATCAGGAGATAGCTAAGCTGTCTGCTAATGGGTGGATTGGCCCCACTTACTCTCCGATCTGCGCACCTACGATTATGGTGGATAAGCGAAGCGATGAGACGGGCGAGCGTAAGATGCGCATGGTTGTCAATTACCGGGAGCTGAACGCCCTTACGATTGCGCCTGACTTTCCCCTACCACCTATTCAAACGATTCTTGAGATGCTGGGGGGGGCCCGATACTTTTCCACCCTCGATCTCGAGTCAGGATTCCACCAGATAAGGATGGCCAAGGAGGACAGGTGGAAGACAGCTTTCCGTTCTGTTATGGGGTTATTCGAGTATAAGGTCATGCCCTTTGGCCTCAAGGGCGCGCCTGCTACCTTTCAGGCCAACATCAATGCATACCTACAACCTTTATTAGGTCAGGGAGTCATCGCGTACCTTGACGACGTCCTCATCTACAGCCCCGACCTTCCCAGTCACGTTGCCCTCCTCCAACAGGTACTCGGTATTTTCCTTGACCAGAAATTTTACCCCAAGTTCTCTAAATGCAAGTTTGCAAAGCGGGAGCTTACCTACTTGGGCTATACCGTTAGCGCGGAGGGTATAAAACCCCCACCAGACAAGATTCAAGCCATCAAGGCGTGGCCTGAGGTGCTGCAGAACGAGACGCAAATACGCCAGTTCCTAGGCACCGTTAATTATTGTCGAGTGTTCATGGGCCCGGATTTTGCCAGGGTCGCCCGCCCGCTCGTGGATCTCACGCGCAAGGGTGTCCCTTTCCAGTGGACAGACGCACACACTCAGGCGGTACGCCACCTCAAGCAGCGTTTGATTGATTACACCACCTTACAGATTCCTGATACCACGAAACCCTTTGAGCTCTACACGGATGCCTCTGGCTTTGCCGTTGGCGCGGTCCTCGAACAGGCCGGTCAGCCAATAGGGTTCCTCAGTCAGGCCATGACCCCCACGCAGCAGAAATACTCGATCTACGACCAGGAGCTTTTGGCCTTAGTATCTGCACTCGACAAGTGGGCACACGTACTGCGACCTGCCAAGGTCACGGCCCACACCGACCACCAAGCCCTTACATACTTACAGCAGCTCAAGGCGTCGAAGCCTCTCCGCGGCCGCACCGCCCGGTGGCTAGATTTTCTGGCTGAGTTCCCCGACCTCACTATTACATACCTGCCGGGTGCACGTAATCAAGTGGCGGACGCACTGTCTCGTCTCCCTTGTCACTCAGCCCCCGGCCCTTCACCCTCCCCCATTGACTCCCCTGCGACCCCTTCTGGGTCTCTTGCAGTTCTCGCGCCTGCGACTGACCCGCCCGAACCATCGCACAAGACCCGGGGACCACGTCCTGACTACCGGGAACTTGCCGGCCTCCGCCGATGTTCCTCCCGGAAACGCACTCCTTCACCCCCAGTTCCACCCCCGACCCCTACGCTCGACCCCGCTCCCGAATCTCCCACGCCGGCAGACCAAAGACCTACGCCCCGTCCTCCCGTCCTCGACTGGCCGGCAGCGTATTCTAAGTGCCCGGTGTTCAGCGCGCCTTATAACGCTGCCTCTACCAAGCAGGGTGAAGTTGTTCAACTGGAGTTCCAACATCGTCGTCACACCTTCCTCCCGTCCTCGACTGGCCGGCAGCGTATTCTAAGTGCCCGGTGTTCAGCGCGCCTTTTCAGCGCGCCTTATAACGCTGCCTCTACCAAGCAGGGTGAAGTTGTTCAACTGGAGTTCCAACATCGTCGTCACACCTTCCGTTTTGTCCTGCCCTATTTACATATCTGCGTTAATGGTCTCTGGCTTATCTGCGTGCCTCAGTTTCCAGAGTTCCTCACTCATGTCCTGTATACGCATCATGATCACGTCACCGCCGGGCATCGAGGCCAAAAGAAGACCTACAAGGCCCTCAGCAAGCGTTACTATTGGGCTGGCATGCGTACTTAACCAACGCGTACGTGGAGTCCTGCACGCAGTGTCGCGCATCCAAATCCCTTAATCAAAAACCCGCCGGCCTCTTACAGCAGCTGCTTATTCCCTCGCGCCGGTGGAGCCATGTCAGCCTAGATTTCGTCACCGACTTACCCCTCACCACCTCTGGGCACGACGCCATCCTGGTCGTCGTCGATTCTCTCAGCAAGATGGCACACTTTATCCCGGCCAAGAAGTCCCACTCAGCCGCCGACACTGTAGCGCTCCTTGCTGACCGCCTCATCCGCTACCACGGCTTCCCCAACGTCCTTCTTTCCGACAGGGATCCTCGCCATCAGGCTAGGGGAGGGCTGGACGACTGCTAGGGGACTATAGGACGCCGACGACACCGACCTTTACGAGTTGAGGGGCTGGGTAAGGAGTAAGAGTGGTCGGAGAATGATTCCGCCTCCGCACCTGCCGAGACCCGTGAAGATAGACCTAATTCTTAGTCAAAGAAGGCTGACCGGCTTGACGTGTTAGCCAAGGGCATACACCCCTGACGTGCGGGACGTCCCGAGGTTGTCGTGAAGCGGGATGAACGGAGAGAATGAGCAGAAGAAAGGCCGGGATCAGGGGGAAAAAAAATAAATAAATAAATAAAACAGCCAAGCGGTTTCGGCTCGTTAGCAGGGGGGGAAGTTGTAGTGCCGGGCACTACAATTGACCTTCGTCGCTACACCCGAGACTTACTAACGCGAAAAGCGTGAATAATATCTTAGGGCATAAGGCACCGTAGGATAGTGGAAAATCATAAGAGAGAACAATGGGCTCGCTAGCCCGCACCGGGTGCGAGGTTGGTCGCGAGGTTTGGTGCCGCGACGCGACTCGGGCACTGACCCTCGGCGAAGGTCAGCTCTCAGTTCTATTATTCTGGGTTTTCTCACCTCATAATAATATGAACTCA